ATAAATCTTTCGTTATCTGTTATGTGTAAAAACATTAAAATAATATGCACACTTTTTCAAAGTCAGTGGAACATATATATGCCATTTTTTTTGTTTTTGGTTAATGAGTTTTAATGAATTGGAAAAATCGATTGTGATAGAAAGCACGATAATAGTGCATGAACCATATTAATTTCCGGCTGTTACAGTTAAAAAACAAAGAAAATAATGGTATATATTTTCTTTTTTAACTATGTAACAAGTAAGATAAGAGAGAACAAGAGAATTCAAACAATACTCTTGGAGAGAGAAAAAAGAACGATCTATATATGTAAATGTATGACGCATATTGATGAATATTACTAGAATACTTCTCTTCGAAATTTTTAATAGTCTTTTGATAAATATGAGTTATTTTACAAATTAAATGACGACAATGACAAATGAATTTGAAGAAAATATATCAAATGATATGTATGTCAATAACGGAGGTGATACTAGTCTAACTCTACTGCCTTTGTCAGTTAGCCATCATTTATGTATTATAGGAAGAAAAAATTTATTTCATTTTTCTTGCTTTGTTAAAATTTTTGTACAAATTATACTCATCTGACTGATCTGAAAATATCGTCAGAAATTTGTTATTCAAAATTTAGTCTTGAAAGGGTTAAAAAAAAACAATTTTTCGTTTTGATCTAAAATTACAAAAGATTAATCATATACATTTCTATTTATTTAATTCTATTAGTTCTTTTTGCGACTATAAGATGTATCTTGTTTAGAACTTGCCTTAAATTTCTTTTACTGATTTATTTATTTTCGAATAATTATTTTAACTTTCGTAATATTATGTAAAGATCTTAATAAACACTTAAATGGTTCATCAGTCTTCCATTTGACGTTATTAATTCTTTTTCGAATAGAAACATTCGTTGTTATCGGATTTCCAGCATAATTTAAAGATACTGAATTACTTATTCGAACGTTTATTGACTGTTTTTCTACATTATTTATTTTCTTGAAGATATTTCTTCGAATAATCGATATAAAACTACTACGAAAAATATAATCGATTTTAGAATAAAATTTATGAGTTGTTTTATTCAAGTCTCATTACAATGTTGTATCGTTAAACTGATGAACCTATTATTCTACCATTTTCATCTATCTGTTGTATATCTTATATATTCTTGGATGAATTCAACATAAAGCAATGCTTCGATTAAAATGTATTGTGTTAATGAATCTGTCGTTTTGGATATATTTTAAGATATCGGGTGCGAATGTGAGTGGATGTGGACATGAGTGTCGGTGCGACGTGAATAAAGCATACATATCCGCACCGAAACCCACACTCCATCCTCAAGATAATACTATAATCAATCATGTGAATATATTCCGAAAGCTAGCATATGCCTCGAAATTCAAGTGTATTATAAATAACGATGAATTGAAAACATTATCTCAGATGTGTCATAAGACAGAATTGTTATAAGCATGTGATCCATATATTTTTCTTTCCTTTTCTTTTGTTTTTTTTTTGAAAATTTGATATTTTCCAACAATACTTATATTGTCTTTTGTGTAATGACCGATGTTCAGATACATTGTTTATTTATTTTTGAATTCATAAATAAACCTGATTTATAATCTAACGAACAAAAACATTTGTATTTAGCCACGAAACAAAACTATGTTTCACAATTAGTTAATACCTGAACTTTAAGTATCATTAACAAATAATCTCAACGAGAAATTTTCATCAGAAAAACTTATGAAAAATATTGATTTTTAAAATCTTTTTCTTCACCGGGTTATTTATCTTATATTTTACAGACCCAAAAATAGTATATCTTACTTTTTGTCACCAGTTATTCAATGCAGTGATGATTTATTATTTCGAATACCAGTAGTCAACTGAGCATTGGTATCATAAGGATTACGTGGTGCACGTATACCACATGAAAGACTTATAACGACGTTCATAATAATCTAATTCTGATTCACCAGGACGATGTAGCTGTGATTGTGCTTCAGTACCTTTTATAAAAACAATAAACTCGTTCATGAAACAAAAAAATCATATTTACTATTAGGATCAAGAGATGCCTGTGCACGAAGAATTGGATAATCCATAGCAGTTATTGATAGATTGAGAAAATCATCATCAGGTCGACCTATTTATAGATTAAATATTCAAATTAGAAAAACATCTTTTTCTTTCTAGCTTCATCCACTAGGATCAAGTCTTAAATATCCTTCAGCTAATGAACTAAATCCTGTTAAACCATCCATCGCTTTATATAGTGATACATATCCAGTTGAATGATCACGTTGTTCTACCCAGTACAATTACAATCTAAATATCAATTAAAAACTAATATTTTGTTTTCTTTCGTTGAATGACTAAGAATACTTTTTTAACATGTGTAGGGTGGTCGTGTTCCATGAGTATCACGTGAATATTTATAACAACAATTAGGATCACTTGTACCAGATGCATTTGCAACATATTCAAATGATGCACAACGACATGAAATAAGAATGGGTCGTTGAGTTGTAATCTCAACAAAATCAGTTTTATGTTAAGAAAATCTTCATTAAAATAAAAAAATAATTAGTAGTAATGTTTTTTTTTATTTAGTTTAGCTATGTCGACAAAGACATTTATGCTGTGGTTCAATAAGAATACAATCCATTCCTTGAGGATTTACCCATGATACATATAATCGACTGTGTAATCGCTTAAAATATTTAAATTATTCAAACATTCTGTGATATAAAATATTTTTCAACAAACATTTATTCTTTTTCCACGTAATATAATACTTAATTGAATATAAAAACAAAAAAAATTCATACTATGGGTAAAACTCGTCTTTTATATGCATCATATTCTTCTGGCGAAAATAATTTTTCTCCATCATCATCACCAACAATACTTGAAAAAAATTAATAAATGACAATAATTAATTTGATTCATTGTTTAATTCTTACGCTCAATATTCGAAATATGCATCAAGATGTACAGCTGCATTTGATGGTAAACTAATATAGTCACCTGGTGCACGTGTCTACGATTGCCTCCTGCCATTATTCTTTTCTCTATATATATATGAGTTATCGAACGTGCATGAAAAAATTTCATTTTTAACATCTTAAAATAATATAATAGAGTAACTGATTCTAGTATGTCGATATCATTCTTGTAGAGTTATATTGAAAGATCATTCTTGATTCTGTTGAAAACTAGAACATTCTTTTAATAAGATTAAACAAAGATCAGTTATTTATCAGTATTATTTTATTGATTAATTCATCTCAGTAATATACTAAAAAAATAGTTCTAATGAGAATCTTGTTTTTTTCATTATGAAAACAATATAAAATTAATCATCATGAAAATAAATATTCATTTTACTTCTAGACATTGGATATGAAATAAGCATGAGAAATTACTTTATCCTAGTAGCATTTTTTTTCTCTCATTAAACTTTGCATTTCCTTGTAAAAATATTAATTTTCAATGTTTTTTAACATTAATTACATTCAATATTAGTCAAATATATTGGTTTCCGCAGTCTACATAGGAGAGTATAATATTCTCTATTTGCAACAGATGATAACTCACATATGGCATCATTTTGTTCAAGATAAATGTTAAAAAAAGTAACGAGTGCATTTTTTTTTATTAATATATGCATTCATTATTGTGTTGGTGGTAAATTTTCCGATAATATTTTATCTGAGCATATTCAATGATATGTGTAAATCGAACTGTTATTTCAAGGATCATTTTCTTTCCAAAAACATATAAGAAATACTTACTTCTATTAATTTAATTGACAAACAAAACTTGTTTTTACTTCGATTCAACACGATAGACAATTTGTAGAGCAAAAAATAAAAAATATTCAAATCTTAGTAATTATCATTATTTAAAATCGATAAGAATATAGAATTAACTTTCATCGTTTTAAATTAGAATAAAATCAAATGTTTTATTTTCTTTTCCATGTGATCCATTACTAAGAAACATGAGTAAATTCTATCAAAAGTAACTCATATACTTCTCAAATAGGAATTTCATGTGTTTAATTCAGTTTGAAGAAATATCGATTTGCCTTTATTTTTGAAATGAACAGTAGTATCAATTTTGTTTGCAGTTTTAATGATTGATATATATATTTGTGAAAACTATATAAGACATTATGGATTAAAATTAACTCTCATAAATTGAATTATTCTATGATATTTAGTATAAA